TATTTAAAGTTCTCCCTCAGGAGAGAATTGATGTAACACACAATACAAAAAATTTCATATATTTCCTTTGAAATGTTCCCAAAATATAATCTCACAGTTCTAAATGAAAAGTTGTCTTAAGAACCAGGCACATTTTGCATTGACTGATGGTTATTTTTAGGTAAACCACTTTGAGTTAATTAGGAGAAAAATTGCTACTGTACAAATTATCATGCTCTGTCCTCCCACCTTGGCCTGAAAATAATGAGATGTAACAAAAGTTTTTCTTTGTCACTGGCAGCTGCACCTTTTAAGTGTATCAAAGTCTGTTGCTGTGGTTACGGCCTTTGTTTCCAGTGATGTTTTGTCCATGCTTCCCTCCCACCCTTAACAATGGTTATTCAAAAGAATAAAATAATGAGTCATTCATTCGGAAATATTTTGTTAAAATATCCCTCTTTATCATTACATTTCACTGCTTAGAAACTAGGCTGTAATTCAAGGCAACAGTTAAGTCTGAGAACTGTTAAAAAAAATCTTTGATTTTTTTTTTCCATTTATAAGAAAAACCTGTCTATGTAACTGAAGAATCTCTTACAAGTCTGAACAATTAAATCCTTTTTGGTTAATGTATTATTTCTGGAACAAGTAGATAAAATTCTACGCAGTAAGCATCGTAAAAATCGTGCATGTTTCATACAGCACAGAATTTTAGAGTCAAGGTTTCTGGGCACAAAAGCAGTAACAAAACAGTCCCTACAAAACTGAGTAACTCTGAATAACACAAGAAATAATTTTTGTTAATTTAAAATTTTAGAAACTTAAATGTGTAAAGTTTGTAAAGTAAAATGTAATTAAATTATGGTACTGTATATACCAGTTGTTTCTATAATTGAAAATTTACAATATGAAAAATACATTAGCTCTGTACAGTTTTTACAGGTAGGTAGGATGAGTTTTGAAAAAAAAGATTCTTTTTTTTCAGGGTCATACTCTGTTTAAGTCAAAAAAATACTGCACAACTTAGCTAATTACAAAGTGTAGACTTAAAACAATTCATGTCTTCTTTATTTCATGAATTAATCTTGGATTTTTGTTTATTTTGAACAGGGGATTTGTTTTGTTTTGTTTTTAGAGTCCACAATGAATGAATCTTCCTCATTTTGTCCTTGAGGTTACAAAGTTTGGTAGCAACCCTTGGCTACCAATTAGCTCAGTTAAGCTAGCTGCTGTTTATGGTCACTGATTTGGCCGGCTGTTGTGATTGTGCTCAGGTCCAGCTCAGTCTCTAGGTGTGTTTCCAGCGTATCTTCCTGTGCATTCGTTTCAAAAGGCTTATGAGAGAGAAGTTCATGATGCATCCCACAGTAACTTATTGTGGGCTGGTCGTATGCCAGAAAGGTTGACACATTCATTGATAAAGGTATCTGGGGAAAAAAATGATATGAGAAAAGTCAGTTATAAAAAGACAGACAACTTTAGGGGCAAGATTTGGAGACTGTGAAGTGCTGACCTGACTAACCTCTATGACTGTATCTGTGGTTCAGGTGTCCCCCTGCTATCCTGCTAATGTCCTTTATTCTCATGGAATAAGCTCAGTGCAACAGTTTTAAAGTTTGGGGTGAAGCTGCTTAAGTACTAACTAGAACTTTGAGATAAATAGTAGTCTAAGTGGTTCTGAAAATAATAAAATCTTTATTGACATAGTCAGAAAATTGCTTTCCCTTACTGGGACAAAACTGTGTTTTCAGAACTAAGAAAATTATTTTTAATATTTGGTTAGTATACAAAAGAACAGTGGTTCTCAAACTTTAGCATGCATAAAAATCACCTCCCCCTTCTTTAACTTTCCATCCCCTTATCCCCAAAGTTTCTCCTTTAGTAGGTCTGAGGTAGGGCCTGGAAACTGTATTTCTTACAAGTTCCCACATGATGCTGGTGCTGTTAATCCACACATCACACTTTGAAACCGTTACAGAAGAGAATTGTCTAGTCAAGTAATTCTGGTTATTTTCTTACCCATAACTTCTTAATATTTATTTCATCATGAAGATTCCTTGAAATATTAATGTCTGTAGTTTGTTCCATATATCTAAAACTTAGAGTTTAGAGAACTCCCAGAAAAAAATCTTTGATTCCTGTGAAGATCTAAAAAGCATCAAAGGATGATTCTAGTTTGAAGAAATCAGTGACATCAGTGAGAAAAGGACTCCTTTGCTAATGAAAGAAAGCAAGTTCCAAACATATGAGGAAAAAAAACAAACATGACCATTATGAGCAGAAGGAAACATACATGTTACAGAGAAATGGTAGTATGAAATATAATCAGATGCCAAAGTCTAGAGATCATTCCTATTCTTTTTTCAATATGATAAAAACTTGTCCTAAAAAGTAGGCAGATTTCAGGATCCTTCAGCCCTAATCTCAGTTAAATATCCTAATTACTAATTCATGTTGCTGAATTCCCTTGGATAAAAGCTTCTGACATTCTTGTTTGGTAAATAGATAAAATATATTTCTATTTTAGCACATCAGACTAAATTTCCTTGTGATCTCAATTAAGATTGGAGCCCAAAGCTAAGAAAAATAGAATGTCTAGGTTTAATTCTTTTATTAACTGCATCTTTACTTTCTTTCCCCTCCTCTCGATGCATTAGAATGCTCTTTGCCTCTTCTCCTTACCTTCTACTTACATTTATCTCTCCTTCAGTGAAAATTGGTTGAGAAAATATTTCCTTGTTTTCTCTTCAATTAAAGTGTTCATTTCTTTTGAGATTATTTATTATATGATTGTTTCCGTGCGCCAAATATGTAGGGCTTAGTCGTCAGGGGCAGAAATATAATCCAGTTCATCGAATGAAATACTTGAGTAACCCTTTCTATATAAGTGGATTTTTAAAATTTGAATGCTTCTACAATAGGTGTTTGGGTAGCCAAAAAATGAATAAGATAAAATTTGAAACATGAGGTTATCTGATATGTGAATACAAAATATCATACACTAAAAAATGGTCAAGGTGATTGAAAGATCATAAAAAATATTTAACAATAAAATAGGATATTGCCATTTAAAATAAATAAGAATTCCTGTTGTTACAGATGAAATAGCCCAAATAACTAAAATATATTATTATGTAAAAGTAATTATGCAGCATGAATAGAACTGAGTTATAGGAGAAAACAAAAATAGAACCGTTATTGGGCACATGAGTTTTACATTAGCCTCTGGAAAATCAATGCTCTGTAATGTGTTATGGGTCATATATCTGTAGAATTTTATATACTTGTTCGTATTTGTCATGGAAACTTACGCCTCATATATGGTGAATCATTCCTTGCTTACTGGGAATTAACTCTACTGTGAGTAATTTGTAATTTCTATTGTCATGATTTATGAAAAATAATAAACCATGATACATTTATACAATGTGTTTGTATGTGGACACACAATTTCCTAGTTTGATTTAATAACTAGAGGCTGCTGGTACCAGAATGGAAGTCCTAATTTGAAACATATCAATTAAATAGTTATCTTTGATTATCTATTTAAAAATTCCACATATTTTCTTTAGAATTTTTTTTATTGTTGGATGTCTTATTTTGAAACAGCTTATCCCATGATTATACTCTTTCAATGTAAAGGCACATTTTTGTGCATTTAAATATTTCTGAAATTTGGATGGTAATGAGCACCCACTTATAAACAATGTGGATGCTTAACATGTATTTTTTCCCTGCAATTAAAAGTACGTCTTAAAGTTGATGATATCTATGAAAACAGTAACATAGTAAGATGTATTAGTAAGAATTTAACAGCTAACCATTTCTGAAAACATTAGAGTAGATTTTTCCCAGGTTGACTTAAATAGTTTTGAAAATCTAAGAAAGTTAGCATTGTATATATACACATGTGTATATATAGGAGTACACACATATGTCAGCATACATATGTACATATACCCCATATATACATACTGTATACTATATACATACATATATGTAATCTCATAGCCAATTAATTATGATTTCAAAATCATTTAAATCAAGTACGGAAAATGCACATTTTGGGGATACATTGTTTTTGAACCACTATTACGTTCTTACGTTATTTATATAAGACAGGTATGTAAATATTACAGCCATACCTATAGATGTATATATAATATGGTATAGGTATGTACATGCGTGTACATTTACTCATACATTTTTCAAGTTGAATTCTGGTAAATCTTTGCTGAATTATGAAAATTTTGCCAATTTTGTTGAAAGGGCCAATGAGAGAATTTCTTTTATATATAAAAGTGTTTTGTTAAATTTAAGTAATTTCCTTCCCGATTTTTTATTTCTAAGTATTTTATACAGATGTCCTGAAAGCCACGTTTATTCTTTAGTGGCTAATCAGATGGATAAAAATTATTGAAGCTTTATGATACATGAGGCACTGTGCTTGACAACATTTAGAACCTAAATATTAGTGGGTGTACTGATTACTGACCATAAAATGTGGTCGGTAATTTTCCTTTTAAACATATATGGTTTCTATAAATTACTATAGATAAGAATTCACTAGATATTTCCTTTAAATATGATTGCTACAATGTATTTCCACATATGTAGTATAAAATAAACTTTGTTTAAATTTAAAAGATTTAGTTCACTCTGTTGAGAAGGTAACACTGAAAGACCATGCTCTCAGTAAACATTTATTAAAATAGAATATCCATGTGGTACAGAAATGTAATTTTTAAGCACTAAATTTTGTTTTTATGACATTGATTATACAAAGTATAATGAATCCTCCATGTAATAAAAGTAA